CATAATTGATAATGTTATTCTTGTAAATATTGATAATGTCAATTCTTAAATTGAGGATGTTCACGAACATCGGGATTGATAACAAGGTTGAGATTTTTGGCTTCAACATAAACATTTCAATATGACAATTCGAATGAACGCAGAATTGTGAAGATGCTGCAAAAATAAATCACGAAATCGACGATTCGACAACGTCATTTTCGCGATAATATTTGTACGGTAAGTACGGTAATTGCTCACAAAACGCCTCGAATGAATACAGTAACCCAAGTGGTATTAATAACGATGATCACTGAATGTTATTAATGTCAATATCAATAAAGCTGTCAACGAATTGATCCTCTTGAGAAGTTGTGATTTGTATTTATCATACTGTTGAATGCTGATCCGAGAGACGGATGGTGAGAACGATCGCAGAACTTCAGAGAAGTCAACTGAAGTTACTGGAATACGCTCGGCTTGTGATCATGTCGAACGTTCTAACAGTTCGGATACGCATAATTCCTGCAAAATATTCGGAACGATTCAACGAAACTTCAGAACTGTCCCACCAGTCAATTCGTACAATGCATTTTATTCCCTTCGATTTTTATCAACCCCTCAAAATGCAATTTCTCTTCTCAGGTTTCAAACAGATCAGCTCATGCACACTAATGTTTTGTTGACCTCCTGCTGATGTTTCTTACAATCAGATCGTCACCAGTTCGCTGCCCACTAAATGAAACTTCTAAGACCAATCCACCTGGCTGAACACCACATTCAAACCAAAATTGATTGGAGTGAACCGTATGTTTCCGGAACTGATACGAGGCCGCCTTTCTTACTAATCGCCTCAGATCGTCACTACTGTATCTCTCTGTCGCTTCGGCAATCGCATTCCAATTCACATCACTCGCGATTTTTGTTTCCTTCAATTGTCGTTTATTTAACTTGGTTAATCAGTGGTCAAATAAACGATTCGTGAAATAATACAATTTCACTTGATTACTTTATAAAACAGACAAACTAGTATAAAAGAGTCTAGACGGAACCTGTTACTGATGTGACCTCTTTCGGAGAAAAATTAAAATCAATTGAACTCGGTACTTTCTGATAAATTCTCAGCACATCAGATTACAATTTCAATTACATATTTATTGCATGTTGTCTGTCCAATTATGTACTTGCATACAATCAAGCATACATATCTTTTGCTCTTCTTCTTATAGTTCCATTTTGAATTCAGTGTAAATTTTATGCGATTCTTCAAAATTGTTCATCACACAAAAAGTTTCAGTGAGATGTTTGCATGCCGCAATTGAGGAAAGCGTGATGGTGAAGCTTCTCAGGATATCAAGAATTCAAATCACCTGATGAAAACGTGAATTAATTTCTCTTGCGATTCACTGCTGCATTGATGTGAGCAGAAACGTAAGCATGCTCGTTTTGCTGTGAACTGATAGAAATGACGAGAAAATTTTCAGCAAAATATATACTTTATTACATTATTCACAGTTACTTACACATATTCAAATGTTCATATCAAAAACATTCTGAATTTTGCACGACACAAATATGAAACAACACTGCAATAGATATCCACAAACACTGCCGTGAAATTGATGAGTTGAACGAATATCTCATGAATTTGCAGTTCAAAATTTCAAAGTTTCACAACTGGGATACTTCTTTACATTGCCCTATTTGTCTATCTTCGCCGTTGAAAAAAATCAACTGATTACGTATTGAAATGATAAATGCTATCGATTCGGAAGTTTTTAAATGCTAAAATTATTTGAATTTAACACATTACACCCGAAGGTTCCATCAATTAGCTAATTATCCTTGCTCACTTTTCATTTGCATATCACCTTGTCCGAGGCATTCGAAGAGTCNAATCGCTTCTTGAACACATAGTTTCAGCCAAAATTCTAGCTTCGCAGAGAAGACTGCTCGTTAGGGTGATGAATTTTTTCGAATTTCAGACTTTCCAAGATCCGACTCCTCGAAAAGATATCTTCTGTTTTGCAGCCTGTATGGAAATTCGTTGCAAAAGAATAGGCAGAGAGGTCGCCGAGTGAACTGTTGCTTCGTTCGAAGCGCCTAAGCGCTACTGTTAAAGATGCAACTACTCAAAGTAAACCTATCTCGACGCACTTTCATTGAGGTTGCTTCCGATCAAAGACACCATCGCGGAAAGTGATATCAATGGGATTTCAGAATTCGAAATTCAGAAATAGTGCATTAGAGCACCTCAATTGAGCAAAAAACAACTTCAATCCAGCAAGACTTCAGACAAAAATTTCATGCATATGACAAAAATTGACAAAAATGACAAAAATTTCATGCAGATTGTTTTTTAGCTAGAAGGCATTTTTTGAGAGGTAGTACCTATGATTTTTAGAATTTGATTGTTTTAATGCGAAAAATTGTTACCCTGCTAGTTGCGCATTCGAGAGCGGTTTATTTCACTGTTTTAGAGTGATGTCGTGCTTATGATGATAGTAAGCTTGAGGCATTAAAAGGAGTTTTAGTTTTTGATGATGAGTCAGAAAACAAGACGATTGGATGGGAAATCTGCGAAAAATATTTTTTGAGTTGATCAGAGAGATACTGCAAAGGATACGAATCATGTAACGACAAACGTTCACTTCTATGAATGAATGTTTACACAGAAAAGAACAAATGCGAATTATGCAGTCCAAAAAAGCAGATGATTAACTGCGTCATCGATGGACGTTTTCTCGTCGTTTATCTCCGAATCGTTATTATTGTAACCTTCACCACCGCTTATTACGACCACCTTAAATTACTCAATGCTAAATTCCTATTTACCTTCCACCACACTTATCAATGACGCTGAGTTCATAGTCTCATATAGTTACAATTTACATCATCACTGTTTGTAAAGCAGTAAGTATAGTTTCATTTTTTTGGAGAAGTTAGTGGAATTCAGCTTAATGATCATATACAGCGAATTGATGATATAGACTGTGATCAACTTAAGATTAATATTAATGGATCAAAATTGAAGAATGGATGAACAAAGACCTGATCGAGATCATGCAATGAGGGAGCATTCAACGACATCCTCCGTCTTCGCATATCGAAGAGCATCATCGATGACGAAACTGACACAGCTGTCAGAAAACGACATGGACCTATGTGACCCGCTTTACATACTGCAATCATTATCAACTCATTATCCTTCCAGGAAGATCACACAATTGGTTACAATGGAAAAGTGACCTGATGGTATTGAATATCATAATGTTAGCAGTAAATATGATGCATGAAGATAATACCATTAAACGTTGGTGTCCAGTTTGTTTTGGTACTTGCAATATTCGTATTGAGAACGATACCCGCTGATGTGCCGATCCAGAGTCGATTTTTACAACAGAGAAGCGCTGAGATCCTTAAGCAACCCATTTTATGCTGACGAATTATATCTTCTTGTGCTGAAACATTGATCGAATGTAATACCGTTCGCAAATCAATTCATTTTAAAATCGCTGAAACGATCGTTTCGTTTAAAAAATTGACATTCATTGTTTTGTGGACTCAATCACATTCGTTGCTTATCTTATCTCCGGCAAAAGATGAAAAATCGGACGAAACAGCTGATTTTGTTGTGATCACACTGCTATTCACAATTTCGTTCGTGGGAGAAAATTTTAGTTTGAACATGCGTTTTTCATTCGCGAACATAGAGTTTTAAATCGCAAATTAGAAAAATGAAAAAAAAAGAACGAACTAGACAATGTTTTGTTGATAACATGCGATATGCTGAATTCAAGTAAACAATCCAAATTGAATGCATTTATAACTTTCACGATTGACGATTTATTCATGGATACAAATATCGTCGATCCATGCGATGCCATACACGAAACTGTCTCTGATGGATACGAACTCACTTCAGCTTTTTTCTAAACATTTCAACTGACATCGGCCATTTTCTANATCTTGTCTTAAGTTTGTTTATTGTGCATTGTGTTTTTTAGCAAACTGATACCTCAATTTTAGTGGTTGATGGATTGATGAGGTATATTGAATTAGCCGATACTAGACACAATCTCGACACGACCGCGATCATCGGTCGTAATCTCGCCTTTAAGTCGAGTTGCACCTTCTTCGAGTTTTCCATATCCCAGTTACCTTCTTGAAATTTAGCATTACGGTTGTTTGGTTCAATTAATATAATCAATTGACACATTGAAAAAATAATAAAATGTTGTGAACAGTATGGAATGACAGTGCTGAAAAATCAAAAGAAGACCTCTGGAACGTTGGAAATAAATTAGTTGAATGTGCGATGCGGATGATAACGAAACAAAAACTCGCTCGTCCACATAAACAATATCATCAATTGGTAATGGTAATCGCGTCATCTTTTCACGTGACTTCAATCGTACATTATCCAAATAATTGAATACAAATATCCTATAATTATAAAATTGTTCAATTCAATTTACAAATAGTAATTCGTTGGGAGTTTGAACTGAACAAATATTTATGGATAAGTGAAGATGAAATGTAATTCGTAAAAACGCATCAAATCATTCTTCAACGCTTACTCGCCATCGTCATTACCGATCCATATGGTCGATTGTACATTACGTCGAGAGGAGTCTGAATCCGAGTCATCGGAATCTGATGAACTGCTGAAAAATATTTGCTGGATTCAGCATTTGACGAACTAGTGAAAAATGGATGCAGTGGAAATCTACAAAAAAAAAAAAGAAATTGATCAGCATTTACAAGGAAACCTCGAAATAACTCACCTGTCCAATTCTAACCCAGGTACCTCGCTACTTGGGCCATCGACTGACGTTTGCTTTGTGGAAATTTTCCTCTTCTTCCTAAAATAACTGAGAGTTTTTAAATTTTAAGACTTTGAGAAGAAGAAGACTCAACGAGCTTGACGGAATGATTATCGCACTCGCAACTTCGTTTGATGATGAAAGTCAATTGAAACTCAATTTAATTTTGATCGTCTGCTAACCGAAATTGAATCCAAATGAAAAATTTATCGCAGTACTCAGATGAGTTCATATGCATCAAGGGTGAGCAAGAAGACGGATGCAAAGACTTTCATTAGTTCACTCATAATTTCAGCGCTGGAACTATTGTACAAATACGGTTGAAAGTGTGCTACTGAATGACCGATCAAACAACTGAAATGTCGAACAAAAGAAGAGACCTGGGCGAAGGCACGGCACAAATGGCAACAATTGAAGCATTCCCGATGCCGGTGCTGCTCTCGATTGTTGGTTCACCGTTCACATTCACGACGGCGATTTGCCCTGAGAACTTATCGGCCGTACAAACCCACACATTCGGCGCACCACCTTCAATACTCTTACCAAGTGTTGCAGTCGCTACCGAAAACTGCAAAAATCACAACTTCATTCAACAATAATTGCTCACAATATGCAAACAATAAACTTCCTTGTTCGAAGACACCAAAAAATGTCGCTAACTCAAACGTAACGTCAAAACAGTTCTCCATTTTTTTGCGTTGAATTTTATTTAATGAAGTCCTACAGCTGAATGAATCATTTTCAATTATTAGTGATACACAATTGATATTTCATAGTCGATAGTGTTCCGTTATGAATGTTATCATTTCGTTACAACAATGAAGTAGCGAATTTCGAATTAATAAATTTAGAAAACACGTACTGTTAGACCAGGTCTTGTTCGATGCGTGACAATTGATCTTAGATGGCTCGGTGCTTGATCATTTTGTAATGAATTCACTGTAAATTCAGTTTGAAAGAACAGGTTTGTTCGCAGGTTTCAATTACAAATTAGTTAATGAGCACTTAAAACTGAATTTCTCAAATGAAGATCGACGGTAAAGCAACATTCGAATAAGAGATTTCGCAGATAGACTAGTCGTTTTACGGTTACCAAGAATTGAAACTATACAATATAGTGATAACAAAATTCATTCGTAAAATATTGGTGGAATTCAGGAGAAATCATTAAAAAATAAGTGTGAATACATGTGATAAACACTAACTCAAAGCATTCTTTGCCTCCATCAGAGCATTTTCCCATAACGCACGTTTGTCTGCGTTCGAGAAATGAATTGTTACTGACTCGATACCGTTGCTAAATTTGCAATTTTTTTACACATCAATGTTTTCTCTATCAGTTTCATTATTTCCAACTCAAAGTAAAGTAATTCAATTCGAGCACAAGATCAATGTGCTATCTGATAGACAGCCAGTTTTCGATAAGACGATCGAAGAAACTTATTGTTCATGCAATCGTTCACATAAAAGAGAGTCACTGGTTGAGTGTCTTCATATCTTTATCAATCATTTCGAGAACGTCACAATTGAACTGAATGAGATTAAAACGAACATCGTTGTAACTTGAAGGTAAACAGTGGTCAGTTCAGGATCTGATGTCAACTGCTCTTGGAATTTGCGTAGCTCTTGCATTCGTTCTGTACGCATATTGTCTAACATTGTTATTAATGACTGAAACATGTCTTCTTATCTTACCAATCGTTATCATTAAATACCTCGCAGTCAAGTCAAAATTCAGTGACCTAATGCATATTATCAGTCATTTATTGGTTCGATGAAAATACTCGAAAATTCACAGTGCATCAATTTGGAACGATTGTTCATTTGAATCAACGTTAGTCTATTATTATTATTCTGGTCGTCATCAGGTTTCAAATTGTGGAATGCATCAAATTTAGTGGCAGTAAGAGCGTTCTTCAAAGTGAATCAATTAAACTGTAGCATAATTACCAACATTATGCTCATTTTTGAGCAATTTTGAGAGTTCGATCATTTTGTTGAGAATATTCACGTCTTCTTGTGCTATTTGAAGTTTCAATTCAGTGGTCTGTAGAAGTGAAAGTGAATCTGAAATGTGCTTTCTTTATAAATTTAGTCAAAATCTTCCTTCTTGTTGCTGGCCTTAACCGATCGACCGCTAAAAGAATCGAAATTGAGAGGAAAATTCACAATTCTCCAACGACGAACCTTTACTTATTTCGATATCATCAAGTGAGATTTTGAAGAGTAATTTGAAACGATTATTATCCAAGAAATCTGTTGACTGGAACCTGAAATTCAACTTCTTGCAGTTCTTGTCATGCCTCAGTACCTCGAGTTAATCGTGACTCATCATTAACCTTTTCGTCAACTCATTAACGTCATCGTCATTACCGAATAAATCATCGAGATGATCGTTTCACAAACAATCTTATTGATCAATGACTATTGAAAAAAATATTGTCAACATGGAATCAAGTGCAACAATTTCTACTCATTCAGAGAAAGTCAACTGATGTAAGGCCGAAATGAACGATTGTCATTAATAAATATCGCCGACACTTTTTACTCTTTATTAAGGATTTCACTTCGTCTACATTTCCATTTCTGTGTGACAACATCGATGAATTGATCTTGCTAAATAGCCAAACACCAGGTAATTCACCCGTTAGAAAGCATCCGCAGAAGATTTATACAGTGAATTCATTGTAATTCGTCATGTGCACAGGAATGGAGTTATGAATGGATCAGATGAGCGATATGAAAGGAAAAAATCATTGAAGTGAGTGATGAAAAATGGGTGTGTGTACACGTACAAGGTGCAATCGAAGTTTTAAAAACTCAAAACATGAACTCACAGCGGTGCGGAACTCCGTCCACTTCTCGTAGCGGGTGATTTCCGTCGGACACTTGTGACGATCACCTGATCAGACATTAAGAACAAACATCGCTGTTTATTGCCGGACGCATTCGAGATTGTCACCACATCATAACGATTGAACGAACGACCCGTTGTTACTAACTGAAAAATGGCAAAATTTTGTTGAGTTTATTGATGAGCATTTAAAAGAAAGCAAATTCACGTGATTTCCGCACGTTTTAATTTTGTCTCGAAAAATTTCCTCCACCACAGCGACAATTTAATGTGGAATAGATAAATGCTTTCAACATCGTCAATTTGTACATTGAACATATCGATCACTTCATTTCATCATTTGCTCAATTTACGTCTTCAAGGTTTTTGCATTTTTTGAAAGAGTGAATCATGCGTATATGTTCATCTACTGAATTCCAGCGAATCAAATAATGTTACGTCGAATGATCTCGATGAATTAGTCGCGATCACGATGGAAAAAAGCTTGAAATCAAGTGGATCGATCAATCGAATTCTGGCATTCTCAAGAGAGCCTA